TCGCCCGGGACCGGGCCGAGGCGCCGGGCCAGGACCGGCATGAGGAAGGGCAAGGCCTGGGCCGGCTGGTTCCCGCGGCTCAGGCCCTGCGCGGTCAGTTCCAGCGCCAACTCCCGGCACCGCTCGGCCGGGTCGGAGGCCAAGCAGCGGAGCAGCGGCCGGAGCGCCAGCTTGCCGAAGATCTCCTGCACCACCGCCGGAGGCAAGGCCCGCTCCAGCAGCGCTTCTCGGAGGCCGGCCAGGGCGTCCAGCCGGCCTTGCCTCGAGTCCCCCTGCAAGGCGGCCAGGGGGCGAGACAGGGCCTGGCCGGCCTCGGCCACACGAAGGGCGTGCTCCCCGAGGCCGCCGGCTTTCTCCGCCATGCTTCCCGCACTCCCGTTGCTAAGGCCGCGAAGTCGCCAGGCCCCGTTGCTAAGGCCTCTTTCCGCTGACTCACGGCGGCGAGCGGTGTGCTTTACGGCAAAGGCCGGAAAGCGAGGGAGCGGCTAGGAAACCCGCGAGGGCGGCTTTGGCGAGAGGGGCGTTCTAAACCGGAACCTGGGGTTAGTGGACTGCAACTCCCAGCAACCCTTGTCCCAAGGATCAATGACAAGGGATTCTGGGAGTTGCAGTTCACCAGCTTTTGGTGGCTGGATTTTGCGCCCCTTGTGCTGAAGCCAGCAAACCCAATCCTATACATGTTTGCTCAAAACAAACCATCGCTAAAAACCTTAGAATTTCAGAGCTGGAAGGGATTTTGTGGGTTATTTAGTCCATCCCTGTCAGAGATGCATAGTCTGTTAGGATTATTATCACCAGAGTGTGGAAAGGTTAATTTTTGGCACCACAACTCCCAAAATCCCCTACTGGTAGTGCCAGTGGGATTTCAACCATTTTTGTCAAAAAAAGAGGAACTTTTCCTACTTATGGGGTTCATAGAGGGTTGAGGGAAGAGACAAAAACTGTCCTTTTTTAAAAGGCAGATTGTGGCTAAGGAAAGGGTTTTACTCTAAGGAGGCATCTTTCCTATCTTTCTAAATTTTTTAAATGATTTTAAATAAAATTCTTTATCACTTTTCCATGATAACAGGCTGGATTGAGTGTTTTTTTTTTAAATATTGCATTTCATTGTATTTTTAATTGTTTTCTCCATTGGGAGAAGAGCAGCAATAAAATAAACTAACGATTATGAGTCTTTCACAGATGGGTGTGGATGGGAGGTACAATGAAGCTTTATTGGTGCTTTTACGCTACTGATCGGTCACTGCTATTTCCATTATATTTTAGTGTTCTTACTTCGTTTGGGATTTTAATTGCCTGTAAACCTGCCTGAATAGTGCCTGGGACAGTATAGAAATTAAAGTTACTTACTTATTTTAATTTACCCTATTTGGTTACGTGTTAATTTATTTTTTATTGTGTTTTAATAATATTGCACATATTGTTGTTAGCCACCCAAAGTGGCCTGGTTGCCAGATAGTGTGGGGTATAAATTCAATACATAAATAAATAATACTTACTTACTTACACACCCAAGGTAGGGACAGGTCTCTGTAAAGTGGGGCTTTTATCCCGGGATATCAACTGATAGGACACAAAAATCTGTAGGTGAATCTACTGGAGCGTATTAGGAAAATCAGTAATTACATTTCTCAGCCCTATTTTCTCCCTCTCTCTTTTTCTCAAGCACATGCTTTTTGCTTTGGGGGAACAAAACACTCTCTTCTTCCTTTCTCAAGGGGGCCTCGCAACCATCCGAGGCTGGAGATGGTGCCACTTGCTATAAAAGCAAAAAGCAAAGTGTGCACGCTTACATACTGCTCCAGATTGCTTAAAGCACTCTCTGGGCAGTTTACAATTCAGTTGTGCGGGCCAAACATTCCCCCTCGCCCCTCAGTGAGCTGGATACTCAGGTTACCAAGCTCGGAAGGATGGAAGGCTGAGTGAACCTTGAACTGGCTACTGGGATCGAACCTGCGGGGTGAGCAGAGATTTGGCTGCCGTACTGCAGTTTAACCACAGTGCCGCAAACCGGAAAAATAGCAAAGTTCCCTTATGACAGATGATGCCACAGTCCTTGCTCAGCATAAAGTTCGGAGTTTCTGACCCTGTCACTCTGCTGCGCCATCAAAACGCCTGCTGAAACCCCGGGGGAAGCTGCCAGTCAGTGCCGACCCTATCAGGCTAAATAGACCAAAGGTTTCTCTCAATGCTGGACAGCTCCCAATAGCTTAATTCTCCCTTTTGGGAGGATTTTATTTATTTCTCTGGTGCAACCCGGGACTCTGAAGAAGCGATGCTCCTACTGATTGTGATGCTCTCGCGCCAGAAGGACTTTGTGTCCACCGGTAGCATCCCAAAAAGGGCCTGGCAGGGACAGATCCTTTGTCAGCTGGTCCTCTTGTGTGTTTTTTTTTCTTTCCAGGAGGGGAGGCCGAGCTTGCTTTTTGACTGACAGCCACGGGGACTTCCTGTGTGGAAGCCGCTGCTGTTGCTACTGGCAGGCTTAATGCTTTGTGTGCAACAAGAGAGAAAGGGGAAATCGGGAGGGAGGGAGCCAGATCCGTCTGGGGTGGCTGAATCCCCCCCCCCACTTTCTCTCTTAAACCAGGGCTTTTCTGAGATTGCAAGGGGGAGGGAAAGAAGGAGAAACAGGGATCCATCAGGATCTATCCAAAAGGAAGAGGAGGAGGAGGAGGAGAAAGAGGCTGCACTGCAGAATAACGGGACTAGGGGGAAAAGGAAGAGATTCTTGTTAGTGGTACCTTGTCGCTGAACCAGCAATCCAGGTAATTTATCTATGGGCTCCCTCGATGATGCATGTCTCTGATTGTCTCTCCTAGGAAGAGATCTGACCCCCCCCAACTTGCCTCTCTCTCTCT